TTTTCAGTGTGAACACACTACTCGCACTATTTATACTACAAAACGCCATAGAATAGCGATTTGGGACGCACCTTTTGTTACAGAAAGAATTTTACAACAGAAAAGAAAAGAATGAGCCATTGTAAAGTACACTTTGTAAAGTACACATCGCTTAAAAGTACTTATTACAGAAACAGTGTACTTTAAAAGAATCTACACAAGTGCGAAACTGAATAATGTTTTCGGACACGTAATTGCATGTTATTTGCAATAAAAGAAAATGTGTTATAGTTTAAATTTAAATTAAAAGCAATTTGTTGAACTTAAGACTAATTATGAAATTACTTATATTGTCTTTGAAAAAGGGTTAAAATATTACTGCCAAATGTACTTACAAGCATGTATGGTAATGGTATGGGAGCTTCAGCATCCACCCCAAACATACTACTTGATATAGTTTAATTCAAGTGTATGTGTGTATTTTTAAACTGAAACGACCCACTGTAACTGCTTTAAAAAAAGTTAAATACTGCATATCCGATTTAAAATGAATATAGATGTATACATACATGCATGCAGATCTCAACATATAACATTTCGGCTGTTGTCTGTTTGACCCAGAGTTTGCATTTTAATCCCACAGGAAGCCAAAAAGAAATATGATAAAGAGACGGAGAAGTACTGTACAGTGTTGGAGAAACACCTCAGTCTGTCTGCGAAGAAGAAGGAAGCACACCTTCATGAAGTATGTTCTGCTATTAATGCTGTTTTACTTGAGACTAAAATGGTCTTTTTGCATGCTGTTGCACTTTAAGACTAGCAGTCATCTGGTTTGATTTCCTATAAAACAGTAAATTGGGGGCAGATGTATTGAAAGGCTTGACTTCATTTGTAATAGCCAACGCATTTGGTTTACGCTCTGCTATTGTAGACATCATGGCCTGAAGTCTACAAAGCCCTAGTTTGATTTCATGGACGTCTGTGTATGTTTTCTGTTTTTCTTCACAAATCTTCCCAGGCGGATAACCAGGTGGACATCGTGAGGCATCACTTCTATGAAGTCTCGCTGGAATATGTCTTCAAAGTGCAGGAAGTTCAGGAGAGGAAAATGTTTGAGTTTGTGGAGCCGGTAAAACTTCATATCATGATATGATATCAGGCCATATCATATCATATTATATATTATAATCTCTTCATTGATGGCTGTTTTCCTCTCTTTTGGATGTAGTTGCTGGCTTTTCTACAGGGTCTGTTTACATATTATCATCATGGGTACGAACTGGCCAAAGACTTCAACCATTTCAAGACAGACCTCACAATCAGCATTCAAAATGTGAGTGCATTTCTTACAACAGACCCTCATAGATATTGATATTACAAATTAGGAGAGCAGAATTAGTTCATACTCATACTTTGATGCATTAAAGGTGCTGTATGTAATTTTTTGATTGTACTAAAGCATAAAACACCAAAATCCATTTGCAGATATTTTGGAAACATGCTAACAATGCT